CTTTTCTTCAAGCCGGTTTGAAAGCCTGTTGCTGTTTCATAAAATCACAGAATCATAGAATGGTTTGAGTTGAAATGGACCCTAAAGATCATTTAATTCCAACCCCCCTGCATGGCCAGGGACACCTCCCACTAGTTCAGGTTGCTCAGAGCAGCCTAGAGAATTTCCTCCTGATGTCTAACCTAAATCTGCCCTCTTCCGGTTTTGATCCATTCTCCCTTGTCCTCTTTCTACATGCTGTTGTGAAAAGTCCCTCCCCAGCTTTCCTGTAGGCCCTCTTCAGGCATTGGAAGGCCACTATAAGGTCTCCCCAAAGTCTTCTACAGGCTGCATAACTACAACTCTTTCAGCCTGACTTCATAGCAGAGGTGCTCTTGAATCATCTTCATTACTCTTCTTTGAACTCGCTTGCAACAGCTTGTCACCGTTTGACTCGGGTTCCACAACAATGCTCTTGATCCCCTCCCCCTGCCACCCAGGTAGGGAAGGAGAGAGAGAAAAAGAGAGAGACTTGGCTGGATTGAAAACTAAACTACACAGCTTTAATTAAACACTAATGAATTATATAAGAAAATATATACAATTATATACAGATAGACATTCAGGTATGGGCAAAAGCCTCTCGCCTCCCCCCACCCCCAGCAACTCCCACAGCATCTCCTCAGCTGGGAACAGTCCCAAGAAATCCCAGAGCTGCTGGAGAAAGCAGAAAGGGATGAGGGTCAGGAGAGCTCGGGCCTGGGGGTCGATGGTGATGGATGGACAGAGTCCTACCCGGACGTTGGCCATGGATGGAAGAGAAGGGAAGGAGAAGCAGGAAGGAAGTTGTCTTGTGTGATCTCTGACCTTCCTCTGAGCTACGTAGATCTATGGAATGGAATATCTCTGGCCAGTTTTGCTGTCTGTCTAACTCAGCCTCCTACGGGAGGGTCACAGATCTCCCCGTAGTGTCTGAGCTGGCAGAGTAAAGATGTGAGCTTTAAGACCCAGCAGTTAGAAAAGCATTTCACTCTTATCGTCTTAGCTGGAATGCACTAGTGCTAGTTAAAAGAGAGCTTACTGAAGGAAAAAAAAAATCAGTAAAAGGAAAATTGGCTTCATCCTGACTCAAACCAGGAAACAGCTCCATGTCCTTCTTGTGCTGAGGACACAGGTGGGGTCTCAGAAGAGCCAAGGGTTTTCTTGCAAAAAAGCATGCAGAGCCTCCATCACAGAGAATCTGTACGTGGAGTTACAGATTCAGAGCTACTTATTATGCCAAAGAATTCTGCATTTATGTTTTATGGAGGAGTGTTATTTTTCTTCTATCAGGGCAATCATTCTCTTTAAATCAGACTCATCCTACATACTTGATGCTGAAAGTAACAATACCAGAAAAATAAAAATAAAAATTGGAGGAACAGGGAGAAAGTAATCTTTCCATTTAATGTGAACACATTGCCTGTGCTTTGGGAATTGCTTTGGCTTTCTGTTCACCTCCTAATGGAATTGCAATCCTGCACTTAGAAGAAAACTTTTCAGGCCTCCTGTAAATCTAAAGAGAAACAGAAAGTCATATCTACCTATGTCTATCTTAGGCACAGGCAGGTTACTAAGAATAAAAATACTTATTTAATCCACATGACAGTTTCAATTTATATGTTACTGGACTGTCTACCAATGAGTAACAAATTCCGTTATGTGTTCTATTAGTAATCTGTGAATGACTTGAGGCTTCCATATCAACCTTGAAAACTACTAATACACTCAGAAATAATAGAGTGAGAGCATTATCTTTTCTAGTTGTCTTTGTCAGTTTAGCCTGTGAATGTCTTAGTACACAGTGGATGCTACTGGAAACAAGGTTTAAATACTATCCCCTGACAGTATTTATTCTGAAAATACAGAGTGAGCTTAGGTTATTTTTGAGATTTCTCCTTATAGTCTTTCTGGTACAGGAAATGTGATGACAGCCGTAAAAATTTGGAATACAGTAGATGTCAGATCAATTATGGCAACCAGTAGCTGCTTCAAATTAATTTATTAATAACCTGAAATACTATGTTGAATGGTGTACATATTTGCTCTGCTGACCATCAGCATACTTCTGCTGTCTGGGTTGCTTAGCTATCTCATAAAGTGCAAATAAAATAAATAGTGCAAAGTGAGCTTATGTCTTCTTAATACTGTTTCTTCTGTGACTTCTCAAAGTTACACATATGGAAAATATGTAACATTTTCATGTCCCCAGCGTTTCTATCAAGTGCACACACTTGTTAGTTTGCTTTTTTCCCATCTTCCCTGATGAGTGAAGAAATGTTCCTGTATTGCTTTTATAGTGAATTACTTATTACACAGAGAGACTGGCAATTCCTGGTTTAAGTGACTGCCAAGTTGTATAGCCAAGACTAGCATGGTAACAGTGTTCTTTCCTTGGAAATTTTCAACCATCAATAACATTTATTACTTTAATGCATTATATTTAAAATGAAAAGGTTATCTTTAAAGTTGTCTATGAAATAAATGTGACTTGCTCAAACCCGATTTTAAATATAGGGCAAGTGCCAGATTATGCACCTGGGATGGGGCAACCTTGGTGGTAGGTACAGACTAGGGAACAAGTGGCTGGAGAGCAGCGTGGCAGAGAGGGACCTGGGGGTCCTGGTTGATGGCAAACTGAGTATGAGCCAGCAGTGTGCCCTGGCAGCCAGGAGGGCCAGCTGTGTCCTGGGGTGCATCAAGCACAGTGTTGCCAGCTGGTCAAGGGAAGTGATTGTCCCACTCTGCACTGGTGCAGTCTTACCTTGAGTACTGGGTGCCTTTGGAGGAAATGCAGTGAAAAATACCTGTGTCCCTTTAACTTTCACTGCTTCATTTAGATGTTGCATGTCCTTTTGTTACTAAAATTTGTAGGATGAGCAGATAAAAGCCAGTTTAGTAATCTTGGGTTAAGAGATTGAAGGTTCTTCCTGCCTTGGCACACAACTGTGCTTACCATGTCCAGGAGGCATAATGTTAGCCCCCTGACAGATAGTCCCAGTTTTCTGCTGCTTAGTTACCAGTTTTGCTCACTTCTGTCATTTGCTGCTGCTGTACTAGTCTTATTTACCATTATTATGCTGATATGTCAAAGTTAGGCTTCTTTGTTGCCTACGTCAGCAACATTTTAAGTATAAAGACTTCCAAAGATAAATATGGCAATAATCTGATATAATCTTGATGGATTATTACAACAGAATTAACATGACTTGATCCTTGCTTTTTAGAAAAGGTTAATTTTATTTTGTTCTTTCAACCTTTTTCTTTGCTGTCATATTTAACAAAGATTAAAAGGTAAAAGTAATAAATACACAACTACTTCTATTTTTCCTTATGTTGTAGAGAAATCAGTTGTTACTAACAATTACGTATTGTGACCCTCTACAGAGCAGAGGCTAATGAGGCCATATAAAGCGTTTCTTCTGACTTTGCAAGTTGATTTACAAGGTGAAAATCTATACAATGGGTAACAGAAATTAAAACGTCTTATGCAAGTTATGGAAGGCAGGCAAAAAAAAATTATCCATTCCATATTGCAGACAAGTTTACAAAAAATTATTCTCTTAGACTAGATGTCTGATTACCACACTCTTAGATGTTAGGTGATTTAAATATTTAAAAAAACCAAACCCACAAATGAACAAACAAACAAAAAACCAAACCAAAACACAAAACTATGCAGTTAAAACTACTTTTTTTTTTTTTTTTTCCCCTGTTTAATGGAAATAGTTAAAGACTTTTTTTTCCATTAGGAGAAAGCGAACAGCATTTCATTTAAACTCCAAGATGTCACTAAGGAGAGGATTGGTTTCATTCAAGCCACTTGAAAAAACTTCTACCATATTAGCTGGCACTATCTGGATTCATTAAAGAATAAAATTATAAATTGAAACTATATCATTTACACAGGCAACTGCTTTTGTCCTTTCTTATTGAAATCAAGTGACTAACTGCATATAAATTTTTTTCTGAAACACTGCATTGCTGGCACTCCTTATTTTTTAAGACAAGCTTGTAAATATATAATGGTACCCTTATGGAAGGAGGGACAAGGACTACAACTTCCTTTCTTCACAGCTGAACCAGTTTTCCTTGAAGCCAGAGAATGGCCAACATCCTGAGATTTAAGTATACAAGGATTCTGAAGGATGAATATGCAGTTATGTCTCTGTGCAGATAATAAACATTTCACCATGATTGTTTGAAAACTTGTGTAACTGAAGTTGCAGGGAAAATCAGTTAGTCTTTTATGTCATCTTGACTTTCTTGCAGTAGTATTTTTAGACATTATTATAGACTTGGTTGCAAGTATATAATAATTGATTACACAAGACAGGTTTTGTTTTCATATTAGTTTTTTTGCATACAAGAAATCAAACAAGGTGGTTAACAGAATATATGTGTGTTTCATTGTAAATTTGTCATAGTTGTGGCAAGGCAAACTAATATCTCTTCTCATCTGCACAAGTGTCTATAGCAACATACTCGAACACCAATTACATGTAGCATTTCATGACCTGATGAATGCTGACTCCTGCAATAATCACTGAAAAAATACAAATATTAATTTAAAATTAAATTTCTTTTGTCCTCATTACAGTGCATCAGTAGTTCTTCCCTAGAAGAAAACCCTCAAAGCTTAAACCTTGCAACAGAAACTTTCAAAGTTATACATTAGCAAAGAAATAGAAATTCACATTTATATTACTTTCCGAAGGACGTATCTCAATATATTTCAAGCAACTCACATATTCAAAGACTTACAGGATTATTGATATAAAATAATTCTATGTAAGATAATATTTTTCTCCAGTGCATACCTGCAGCCATATGCATTTTCAATGTATTGTATGTAACAGTTGAGAACAAGTAGAAACTGAGATATAATACAATACACTTGAGGCCTGAGCTTTTGCTATTTAAAAATTATCTTTCTTCTTTTAGCTGTGATTATGTCTTTTAACTGTGTATATGTCTTCCAGCTGTGTGGAGGTGATTGCCAGAGAAGGCCGGAACCTGAAAGAGCTGTATTTAGTATCCTGTAAGATCACTGACTATGGTACGTAGTATATCTTTTGTTTTTGTGAAGATTGAGCTCTACTAGCTTTGCACAGGGACTCTTATAAAAGTGTTGAAAACTTATGGATATAGATTTTCAAAACCTTTATCCATAAAAATAGGAAAAAGTGTTTGTCATGCTGGAAAATATCTGTGATTAAAAGTGTGAAAGTCAGTGTACATATGTGCTGCAAACTGTTCCTTATAGAGTTGACAGTTACTGGGCAGACTGCATAGAGTGCCCTTTGAATTGTTGTGGAGACCACAAGAGCGTTTAAGAGAAAATCCAAAAATACACTTGCATTTCAAGATACTGTAAAAGCAACTGTGAGTGTGCTGTGATTGCCTATTATAGGCAAAAAAAATTGAATGGACTTGATAATCCCTTAAAAATGCTGTTATGACAAAATAGGGAGGAGCAGTTTAGGAATGAGGCTTGCTGTCTGATACCCACATAGAGAAACAGAATTTGTATTTGGAGTAGGAAATCTTGAGTGTGTTTGCAGAGGCTTCTTTCTTCTTTCATCTTTTGGGTTTTTTTGCAAATAGGATACTGACTTAAAAATAAACACTTATTTCTGCAATAAAGCTGAATTCTCTAATGTCATATCTCCTACTTACATGCCTAAATTTCAGTAGGATTTACAAACTGTGTCTTTCAGATAGGCATCTCAAGTTTTCTGATTATTTTATTTCTTATTCTCTTTTTTCTTAACTTTATACTCCATAGCTTTTGTTTTTAAAGAATTACTATGTCAAAGTGATAAACTACCTTTCCAGTGGTCACAAACTCTTTTTTTATTTATTTATTTTCCCCTTCAGATTTTGCACTTCACTGGGGTTTGCATGGGTACTTCCAGGGGTATGTTCTTCTGCAGAGTTCAACCTGCTTTGCATCCACGGTACTTGAAATGAACTCACAGTACAGCTGTAGCACTTGTGGGAGCTTTGGGACATGGGAGAGGAGAGGGAACATGGGCCTATGCCACCATTTTCTCTGGTCTATAGTTGTTTGTACTTCCATGTGCAGAACGGATCTTGCCAAAGTTGAAAACGTAGATTTTCTTGTCTCAATACCACTTGGCAAAGATGAAATTGTGAAATGGGAACCATCTGCTGAACATTCAGGGAGGATAATGTAGAATGAAGATGATTCTTATCACTGTTCTAGGGTGAGAGGTGCGGGGCCTCAGCTGGAAGTGACACTCTCCATTTGTATATTGTAGATCTACTCGCTACTAGATCCATGCGCACTCCCACTGTGTTGGACCTTTAAAGGTCCTTTCCAACCCCACATATTCTCTATTTCTGTGATTCTCTCATTCTCTGATTCTACACTTTCTTGGGCTGTCCAGAAACTTTCTTTGTTATATTATACAAAAAAACAGGAATTGAAGTATATGTGCATACTAGGAGTTGTTAAGTAGTGGGAACAAAAAAAATATTCTATTTCATATTACATTACAAAATGGTTAATTCGGTATTTAAGAAATTTTGTAAAGAAATTGTACAAAGCTTTTCAGGATAATGTTTGGGACAAGAACCAGAGGTGAATTCTTGATACTTGTAAGACTCTGAATATTAAAAACAAGGGCTTTTGTTGTGTAGACTTTTTGCTTTCTAAAACTGTATTCCTTTTCCATATTGCCACCTTTTTTCATTTACCACTATATTTAGTGTCTCTGAGGACACATGATTTTTTTTAATGTTTTTTTCTTCTGAGGATGTTTGCGGTAGCAAAAAAATCAGTTTCAGCAAACTGTAATTGAATTATATAAATTTTATTTTAAAACGTTATACGTAGGGTGTAGCTGTTAGAAGTAGATGGCTGAAGGAATAACATAATTTTTATCATAAATAAGTTCAAGTGTCACAAGACAAAATATAACTGCAAGTTTCATTTGTTTCTTCTTACCCGTTACCGATTTTTTTTCTAACAATGTTAAAATAGTTTTTGAAGATGCTGTTAAACTGTAATGTTTTAATATTTAGGCTACATATGCTTTCTTTTTTAAAAATAGAGTATTGCAGTTATCAGAGGACCAGGTCTTCCCACTTGCACAGAGGAGTGGTCAGTTCGGGACCCTATCTTAGAGTGGAAGCTAAAATACCACCTCCCCCACGCTCACAAATTTTTACTGACACCAATATTTAATTTACAAATTAACCGGTTTATTAAGGAACAGCCATACTAAGGGACCAGGAAAGGTAGGCTAAGGAATATATATCAGGGAAATAATTCCAAAGTACTATGTCCTTATTAAATGTACACTCCGTGGGAGACGTGCAAGGATCGAAGGAGTAAAAGGAAGGAAGTCGAGCCCAGTGAAAATGCCTCTTTAAGGGGTTGCAGGGTGCGTGCAAGTATGAGACTTCCTTCTTGAAGAGCATCCAGCCTTCCTGAACCCCTTTGCCCCTCAGAACTGACTCCCAGGGGACTCTCTTAACCAGTTTTCTAAACAGGCTGAAGCCTGCCCTCTGTAAGTCAATAGTGGAGGTTTTGGTGACCCCTCTTCTTATTTCACTAAGTATCAAGAATTTAACTATTTCATGGTTGCTGATCCCAAAGTGGCCTCTGACCTCCACATCCTTCCCTGTCAGTGAACAGCAGGTCCAGCAAGCCACCTCCCCTGGTAGGCTCGCTTACCAGCTGTGTTAGGAACTTGTCTTCCATACTCTCAAGGAACCTCCTAGCCTGCCTGCTTGTGGCTGAGTTATTGCTCCATCAGATGTCCAGTAGGTTAAAGTTCCCCACCAGAATTAGGGCTGGTGATTTTGCAAGTTCTACCTGCCACCTGAAAAATGTTTCATCTGCTTCCTCATCCTGGTTGGGTGGTCTGTAGTTGACTCCCAACAGGATATCCACCTTATTTACCTTCCCCCTCATCTTTACTCATAAACACTCCACATTGTCATCACTGTCATTGAGCTCTATACATTCAAAGCACTCCTTGATGTATAGAGCCACTCCACCTCCTCCCTTCTCTTGCCTATCCCTTCTGAAGAGTTTGTAACCATCTATTGAAGCATTCCAGCCTGAGTTCCATCCCGCCATGTTTTTGTGATGTCAGTTAGGTCATAGTTCTCTTGCTGCACAAGGGCTTCCAGCTCTTCCTGTTTCCCATGCTGTGTGCATTGGTGTAAATGCACTTGAGCTGGGTTCTCTATTTCATCCTTGACATGGGCACACCACCCCTGGGCTCATCTGTTTACATACTGTTAAGCTACTCTTCCACTTTAGGTCTGCTCATTCGTTTGATTAACTTTGTGTGGCTAGATGTGAAGAAACTACTGGCTTTATAACATTCAACTCAAAATTATAATAGATGTCCATGACTATTTTCAATTTACAGTGGCATTATAAATATCAGCTTTCTAATTTAGTAAGTACGTAGTGTATAGAGTTAGCATTTCTGCTGCCTCTTGTTTTTTGTTGTTTTCAAACCAAAATGTCTCTACTTTGCCATTGTTACCTGCATATTTGCAAGAAATTGTCTTAGTTTTTGTTGATTTGAAACAGTTGTTCTTCAGATATGTCCTGTGCCCTCAGTTTTAATTTGTTCTTGAAGCAGAAGAATCCCATATCCCAAAATGGGTGCTTTATTAAGTTTTTTCCAGATCCTTACTCACACCTAATTTCAAATCTCAATATGTGGTACTTAAATTTAGATCTTAAAAGTGCCTGTTTTCCATTTTATCTCTTAGTATAGGAGCAAGCAAAACATTTCTTTCTATCCAAGTAGCATCTGAGCACCAAGAGAGCAATATTGATGAATAAAATATTTGTTTCTTTGTCTAGAATCTTTGGCACTAATTAATTGTTCTTACTGAGAAAAGGATGTCCTAAAATTACATAAAACCAAGTTAGGTGGGAAAAATAGCTACATTTGTGGTAGGGATACATAATACACTTGGCGCTGGTTTATGTAATTATGAAAGTATTGATTGCTCTTGCAAAGTATAAGTAGTCATAGTGACATTTTGAAGAGAAAATTAAGACTGAAAATGGAAAATGGATATAAAAGTGATGTGTTTGAGTAAGCTAACAAGTTGATCTGTTACTCTAATAGTTTAAATAGAGAACTAAAAGCTTCTTTCTAGTTTGATTCATTAACAAACTATAGGAAGATGTGAAATATTAGGAAAAACTCTATTGAAAGGAACCTGGGAAATAATTACCCAGCTATCAAGGTCCACAAGATGTCTTTCCTGTTCTATAGCCACAGGTGGTTGGGTATAAGCTCTTTAGAAAGGACAGGCAGGGCAGAAGAGGAGGGAGTGTTGCCCTCTACATCAATGACCAGCTGGAGTACAAGGAGCTCCACCTGGGGATGGAGGAGAATTCGACTGAAAACTTATGGGTCAGGGTTAAAGGGAAGACAGGGACAGAAGATCTAGTAGTGGGTAGTCTGCTGCAAACCAGGATGACTGAGCAGATGAGGCCCTCTACAGGCACATAGGAGCAGCTTCACACTCACAGGCCCTGGCCCTCATGGAGGATTTCAATCACCCTAATATCTGCTGGAGGGACAACACAGCAAAGCACCAGCAATCCAAGAAGTTCCTGAAGTGCACTGATGTCAACTTTCTCCTCCAGAACCAACAAGAGGTGGTGGAGGAACCAACAAGAAAAGGTGCTGTGCTGGACCTTGTTCTCATCAACAGAGACAGGGCAGGTTGATGATGTCAGACTTGATGGAAGACTAGGCTGTAGTGACCATGACATAGTCAAACTCAGGATTCTTAGGGCAGCTAGGAAGGAGCGAAGCAAGCTCACAGCCCTTGACTGAGAGTAGATTTTTATCTCTTCAAGGATCTGCTTGATAGGGTACCATGGGACAAAGCCCTGGAAGGGAGGGGAGCTCAGGACAGGTGGTCCATATTCAGGGATGCCCTCTATGCCCAGGAGCAGTGTGTCTCAGTTGAGAGGATGGAAGGCAGGAGAGCCATGAGGCCTGTGTGGATGAGCAAAGAGCTTCTGGACACAGTTAAATGTAAAAA